GCCGTGGGAGGTAGTTGATAATCATGGTTCGAAGACCCAATAATCACAAATTAACGCTTAATTTTTAGGCTTACGAGTCGAATCCTGACAAAGTATATCAGATGAAGGAAGCTTTTCTGAAGGCCCTGCCATCAAGTCTGAAAGAGCTGTTGAAGGTACTATTTGAAGCTTATCTTGAAAAGGCAGTTTTCCGTTGGCTGAGCTCTGCTAGAAGATTACTTCGTCATGTTTTCAATTCGACTCACATTTGTGTGAACGATTTGTTTCAGAACAGCCCGGATAGTGTTGCTCCACTGAAAGAACTTTTTGCTATTTCCCAGAGAACCGGGTACGCAGACCAGCTGGACTTCACAAAGCTTTACAAGGTGAGTTCTGCGAAACTTTTAATCGCCAAATCTCCCAGACTTTTGCAATGTTTATTCATTCCATTCAAAGGCCTATAAAATAGCACGAGAGCATTACATTGAATTTTTGGAAGGGAAGGGTTGAGTGATTTGGTAGTAAAGAAGAAAGCAGCAGAAGTCAAAAACTCTTGAATAAAGCTATCTCTTTGCATTTGGTTCCAAGAACGGTACTGGAGAACCATTGAGAGCGCGAACGAGAGAGCTTTAAGACGTGTGTCAGAGCCAAAGCTTGTTCCCAAAAGCACTCGCTGTGGGATTCGAAAAGGGCTTGAGAAGAATCTTTTACCGACTGATATAGTCGTCTCGTCAATCGCGACAAAGCGGCGGAACGCTAACATTAGTGCAAGTCCCTGATGAGTGCAGTATAGGTGAGAATCATCGAATAAGGATTCTGACGCCATCATGAAGGCCGTAGGTCATCGAAGTGGTGACTATTCCTCGCTGGTGCGTATGCTGCGCGAAGTGCCACGTGCTGCTTCGCTGAACCTGCACCTTGTCGTCCTGATCCAATGTTATTTTTTCGATTGGTTACTTTGGTAAGCATTCATCCAGGTAACCAAGAGGGTGAAAATAAAGCTGGTTTTCTGATGGATGAAAAATTACTAAGGTGTCATTTGACATCAGTTCAGCATCATAGCCGTTCACGAATGCGCTTTGTTGTGTCGGTTCGATCTCAGCTGTGTTTGGAACTCGATCAAACTTTCCTGTACGCGCTATAAATGGGGCTGTGGTGCAACGAGCCAGTGGCCTTCCTTACTTTGAACTTTGCGATATGAACGAAATAATTTTCTACTTCCAAAATTTATAGATAGCTGATGATGTATTGAAGCGTTCTGGGCCGTCTCGACCTGGTAAACGTAAAACTCAAGATGAAAGTGTTGAGGTGAAAATTCCGACATCAGCAAAGCGGAATAAACTAGGTGTGTTCGTTCCCTATGTGCCTTATTTTCGAGTAGGGTACAATGTTTTCTAGTGAATGCTGAGTCCAAAGCAGGACATTTCCATTGAGAAAGAGGGCATAGAACTGAACTCTGAAGGTAAGTGATGCCTTGACTATCATTACAAAGGTAATTTCAGTGACAGCGTATTTCAATTACTGAATGTTATGTATTTAGCGTCTTCGTCGCGGCATCGGTCCAAGCGAGGCAACATCCGTGATACACCCAAGGATTCACCACGAAGACACGTTAGATTAAAAAGTGTGTCCAACATACTTTC